TCGTGGTTCTCATGAGAAATGCATAATTATATTTACGGTTCTATTTAAGTTGGTGGAAATTCATATCAATAATCCGTACTTTTGGTGGTTCTATAATAATAATCTCTACTGAAAAAATCAACTCAAATAATCCAAACTCGTAAATGCGTCTACATAGATAGATCAAACCTTCATAGATAGATTATTATCCTTCAAGAAAATAATTATAGTAATGGTATAAAAAACACTAAACTCAAATTTATGACAATGGTGAATAAAGTCAATATTGCATCGTTATATTCTCCCTCCGGTTCTTTTTAAACTTCACAATTTGACTTCACATTGATTAAGAAAAAAAAATTTGACTTTACTGTAGAGTACACTATTGAGACACTGTTTGACACTGTTTGGCATTGTTGAGACACTGTTTGGCACTGTAAAGACACTGTTCGGCACTGTTTAGCACTGTTTTGATGTTCCAAAACATCGCAATCCATCACAAAAAAAAACCAAAATGAACCAATAAAAAATTCTCAATCTCCCTCATCAATCTCATACCATTAAAACCCAATTACCCCTACAAATCCCCGAAACCCGAAAAACTAGCCAAAAAAAATCTCAAATCCCAATTTCCCTAGAACAAGGAATTCACAGCTACTAAGGCGATGATGGTGGCGGGAAGCATTAGGGACAGTGGTCGGACTAAGTAGGAGGGAGTGACTCATTTGGTATGTATTCATTCATTTTCTACCTTGTAACTTGCATTATTTTCTTCAAAAAAATATAAAAGAAAAAAGAAAAAAATGCTAGTTAGATTGAAAACCCAAAATGGGCAATCTAAGCAAAAGTGGCTAAAATTAGTGAGTTTTTGGGAGAAAAAGGAAAATAAAATGAGAGGCTAGGATGAAAACCTGAAAAGACTCCTAGGCAGAATGAGAGAATGAGAGGGAATTTTATCTGAGTTTATAAAGGAACTCATTTCACTTGGGAGTTTTTGGGATACAATCAATGAAAAGAACATTTGTTCTTGAAGATCATGAAACCCTCTTTTCTTTTGTATTTTGAGGATGGATGAACAAAGTGAACATTTATTCCTTTAAATTTATCTGTTCAATGGGATGCGGACTGTTACATTGAGTTTTACTCGACGACGAGTAATAGCCTAAGTAGGGGGAGTATGATACTATAGAATTATGTTTGTTTATATGTATAATTTTCACTAGTTTTATTTGTTTTTGTTTGGGAAATTACACACTTTAAGTGTAATACTTTAGTTTTCGTATTTATTTAGATTATGGATTTTTTGAGCTTAAACTAGGTAAAGATCATCAAAAGGATCCTGGAAAGGTCAAGGAAAGTGCAAGGGAACAAGAAAAAGTGAAAATTTGGGAAAAAATCAAAAACCCGGTCGGGTAAAACAAAAATCCTATCGGGTTTGACTTGACCCGAAGATCAAATATGATTTGGAGGCAATTAAACGTGCAGGGCGAAAATTTGGCAAAGATGTGTCTTTTACCCGATCGTGTAAGTTAAAAACCCGATCAGATAGATGTGAGTATGTGACTAATGAAGATTCCGGGCAATAACTCAGGAAACCCGATCGGGTTTCTGAAAAACTCAGTCGGGTAAATGACCCTGCAACCTCCAAACACCTATAAATACACCCCTTTTCCTTCCCATTTGATTACCAATTTACATATACTCTTAACCTCAGTTTAGAATAACATTTCTTTATATTTTTCTAGCATGTTTAGTCTCCAAATGAGGAGCTAAACTTTTACATCTTGGTAATAGATCGTAAGTTGTGAGTTATGTTTCTTTAATCTTCTTCCTTGAATATTTTCCTTCATCTATCTCTATAAAAATGTTGGAGAGTGTTGCTAAGATGACAATTAGTTAACATCTCGACATTAATTATAGTAGAGTTTATTTTCGTTAATATTCTTCCTTGAATATTAATTAATTCATATTCATATTTCATATTAATATTTTGAGAATTACTTAAAGGATCGACTAATTTTATTTCATATATTAATTATTACTAAAATCAATCGATTAATACGCTTGTTATTAATTCGGTTCTTTCAACGGTAGTAAACTTGGATTATTAATGCATGTGTCTCATGGTTAATAACCTAAGGGGAATTAATTATATTGATTAAACCAATAAAGTAATAAACCACTTGTGTTGAGGTTATCAATCTCAACCGTTTTCATCTTAAGTTTATTGCTACTATCGGGTTAATATACGACGTGTGTTCTATATTGACTCGGTAGTACGTTTTATTAATGAACGAGTCTCGTTATTAATAACTACCCTCAATGAAATGGAGATACTCCTCGATTGAGTATTCGAGAGGAAGATAGTTAAATATATAACCGGGATTAATGAACATTTTATTAAGTGGATAAAAGCAAAACCAGGTCCTCATCTCTATTAATTAAACTCATATAAGTCATTCATCTAGTGTTAATTAAATGAAATCAAATCAAACTCAAAAACCCTCCTTTGTTACTAGTTACATAAAAGAAAAGTATTTCTTTCCTTGAGGATACGAACCTTACTTCGTTATACTACGTATAATTGTTGTATTGATATTTATTTTGAGTGTAAACCACGACAAAGTGCACGTCAGCATCTGGTTGGCGTCTTCTCTACCTATCCTTCACTCGTTTTGACATTGCATATGGGGTTCATATATTGTCACAATTTATGCAGACCCCAAGGAGGGAACATTGGTGTGCTGTTCTACGGGTTGTCCGGTATCTGAAAGGTAATCCTGGCCACGGTATTCTACTTACTGCTATCTGTGATTTGACTATTACAGGTTGGTGTGATTCTGATTGGGCTAGCTGTCCACTTACTCGTCGTTCACTCACCGGATGGCTAGTGTTTCTTGTGGGCTCTCCTATTTCTTGGAAATCCAAGAAACAACATATTGTGTCCCATTCTTCAGCCGAAGCGGAATATCGTTCTATGGCTTCCTTAACAGCGGAATTAAAATGGCTTAAGGGGCTGCTATATAGCCTCGGTGTTCCTCACACTCAGTCTATGACCCTGTTTTGCGATAGTGAGTCTGCTTTTCACATTGCTCAGAATCCGGTGTTTCATGAACGCACTAAAGACATCGAGGTGGACTGTCATTATGTGTGTGATGTTGTTCAGGATGGTTTGATCACTACTCATCAAGTTTCCGCCCGTGATCAACTGGTTGATATCTTTACTAAAGCTCTTAGCAAACGGCAATTTATGTTTCTTCTCTCCAAGTTGGGCATTTGTAATCCGCATGCTTCAACTTGAGAAGGGGTGTCAGAATAATTATTTTGGGTTTTATTATGCAATTAGCCTATTATCATTGATAGGTGAGAATCCATCACATTCCCATACTAAATGACAGTGGGGAAAACCAATCCTCTAGATCTCCTTCTCTTGCAATGTTAGTATTGCCTTTACTGGCCATTAAATGTATTAAGGTAGAAATCCGAAGTAGTGAGATTGTACCTCTCTATTATCATTTCATTAGTGTGTACCATCAATTACCAATGCGGCTCAAAACACCAAATAAGTACCATCAATTAGCATGTACGGATCCATGGAGACATATACACCAAGCCAGCCAAACTAGGTAGAATTATGGATGGACCCGGGCCGGGCCGGTTCCGGTTCCAGGCCGGGCCCGGGCGGGCTTTTTTTGCAAAATGTTGGGCCCGGAACCGGCCCGGGTTGATACCGGGTCCGGGCCGGGCCCGGGTCAAGTTCAATATTTATTTTTTTTGCTTTCTAGTTAATACCCGACCCCTCCCCCCTTCACCCCCACCCCCCAAACCCCCCCCCCCCCCCAAACACCCAGCCCTACCTAGAAAAGCAAAAAAAAAATTGTAAAAAAAAAAAAATTGAACCGAGCCTGGCCCGAACCGCCCGGACCGGTTCACCAAAAGTTGAGCCCGAGCCCGGCCCGCCTGACCCGCCCAAACGGGCTAAAAGCTCGGAATCGGCCATCCAGGCCCGGTCCGGGCCGGGCCAAAACAGTAACGGGCCGGGCTGGCCTGGTTCAGTCTATCCACAGGTAGAATGTTCCCATAAGTGCATAACATATTAAGATACTAATCGGTGGGCGTAGCCCAACTGATAGCGAGGGAGTGCCACAAGGGTTAGGTCCCGGGTTCGAATGCCAGCAACTGCGATGAGGGGTTACTATGCTAAAAAAATGCATAGGGCCTCTGCAAGTACCGGGGACAGAGCCCCACTCTCTATCTGTCAGATTGGGATTATAGTCCAACTTACATCCTCCCAACATACTGTCCGGTCGGGGTTGGGGGGGCCTCAGGGATGGGGTGTCATCCTTTTTATATTAAGATACTACTAAAAAAGTAATTGATGCACATTGAGATCCTCATTTTAAGAATTTGTTCTCGTTGAATGGTAGATTAAGTAACATGGAAACGCGAAACGAAAAACGTGAAACGCAAGAAACATAATTTCTAAAAACTATAAGATATGAAACGTGGGGGAAACGCAACAATACTAAAAATTATAAGTATATATTCATAAATATTTTTTCATATACATACACAAGTTTTTCATTTATTTACATATATATATATATATATATATATATATATATATATATATATATATATATATATATATATATATATAGACACACACATATATGCACATGAATTTTTCACATTACGTGTTTAATTACCTAATAATAAAAACATTTTATATGTTCAAATTTAATAATCATTTCATAGTAGTACATATTAAACATAAAATGTAATACTATCCTCCGTTCTTTAATTCTTGCAACAATTTGACTTTCACGTTTGCCAACACACAACTTTGACTGTAATTATATTTAATTATGTATTAGTAAACATTATAAAAATTTGATATTTTGGAAATTCGCATTGATAAGAATTTAATAACATTTTATACGTAATAATTTGATTTTATACATTAGTAGAAACTCGTGATCAAAGTAAGATCTGTGAATAGTGCAAAAATCACAATGTTGCAAGAATTAAAGAACGAAGGAAGTATAATTTTAGCAATACATTGCATTACGAAATGTAACAATGTTGTTGCGGAGAAGCACCACAAAAATTCACTATTTTCCATCACAAATCTTTAAAATAAAGGAAAATTGAAACCCCAACGTTTACGAAACGTAGGGAAACGGGTTTTCCAATTCTTCTTAATTACAGAAATGACTCCGTAACGGGAATCTGAAGTTTCTAAGTTTCTGAAATGCTTGCGAATTTCCGAAACGGAGAAAACCTGAGCCACAGAGAGTTTCCGTGCTTCATAGATGTTAGACAATTTGTGCTTTGGAAGACGCACGAGGATAGTTCAAAAGCTTCTTTGTGGCCTCAAAATGCCTAAGGTCATTGATACTTTGAGCTGCATGAATGACAACGTGGTGGAGTGCAGGCGACTTGGCAAGTAGTAATTTCACAAGACACACTTCCACTTCAGATGATCCGAACCCGTTGAGCATCAGAGTCTCAAGCGTCCTCAGATCATCTTCAATAGTGTCCTCCAAAAGTTCTGAATCAACTGCTTCGAAACCTTCCTGAATATTAATCTCCAGCACCAATAAGTTGGGGGACTTTTTAAGCAATTGGACAGCAAAGAGAATATGCTTCCCAAAAGCAAAATTGAAGCCATCAAGTTTGATTTCTTCCAGATTTATCGCAATTGGGAAGGCAGCTGAGGCCACCTCAACAGCCGTATGCTGAGTAATAATAATAAAATGTAGAACAAAAAAGTAAGCCGAGAGCTCAAATTCAAAACAAAATGAATATCAATTACACAAAAGATCATGTTCATAATACAAATGAATATCAATATATGAGGAAGAACCGAAGAAATTCTCACCGGACACATTAACAGAGAGAGGGTTTTAATAGACCTCAAATGAAGCGGGCGGGAGCAATGCTCTTTCAGTCCAACCTAGAAAATCATATATGGACAAGCTTTTAAGATTGGGAGAACTGGTGACAAAATTAGGAGTACCAAGACACACGAAGAATGTTAGCTTCTCAAGCTTGGGCATGCTAAAGACCAGTCCCTTATCATTACCCCTAAACTTAACGAATCTGAATTCTGATGAAGCCAGTCCGGGGAATATACAGGCAGCATTTTCCGGCAAGTAAAAAAGGAAATGATCAAGTCTCAGTTCCTTGATGGTCTTGCACCAGAGAAGACAGGATGGTACATTATATTCTGCATAACCAGCAGAGAGGTGAAGTTCCTCAACGCCGTTTCTTGACAGAAAAAGACACCAACTGTCTAAATCAGCCTGCTTCAGCCGCGGATCAAAGGAGGGACAATCGTGAAACGTCTCGAGTCGAAAGTAGAGCACATTAGAATGCTATTTATTATAGCATCCCTCTATTGAGTCGAAAGCAGAGCACATCTGGCGGCGTCTCGAGTGGGCAATCGCTCCAAAATCCTTTCCTTTATCTCTTCCGGCAGCTCACTAATCACTGTTTTACTTGGACGATAGACCGGCATTAGATCGGAAAGAGGGACAGGATTATCCTTTGATACAAATTTAAGCAGGCGCCATGTGCCGATCCTTCTGAAGGGCTTAATTGGGCATAATCCTTTTGAAGGGCTTAATTTAAGCAGGTGCCATGTGCCGATCCTCTTTGATGGCCCAATAAAATTGGGCTTAATCTTTTTTTATCGTTAAACCAACAAATATTTTAAGTCTGCCGTTCGTCCTTGAACCAGATTCAGAATCTATCACCTCTGTAAAAGCAATAAATTTCGTTGATCCTGTAATGAGAACTGAGCCAATGATTAGCAAACCATACTTCTCATCACCTGACCTAAATTCTAGAATCTTTCTACTATGAAATAAGAACACACCCAAAAAACCATTCTATTCGAAATAAAAACACAAATAAAATAAAACATAATTAAAACAGAATTCATTCATCTTCTTCCAAACTCTAGACTCTCTTTCACTCCATGGTCGCGTCTCTGGAGAGTGACGAGCCCGTCGTTCATCCGCCTCAATAGTAATGCTTTTATATTGATTGATGATATCCCTTGCTACCCGAAAACCCAAGCTCCGCCACAACTTATCTATCTTTTCTTTGTCTACCCTCGCCCTCGACCAAAAGCAGCAGCAGAAGACGAGCCACGACCGCCAAAGCGCTGCATCTTTGGTCACGAGCCTCCTTGCACGGCCAAAATCCGTGCAATGGAGCTGTAGAAAGCTGAGTCAAACACGAGTCGACCATGGCAGTACCAAGCATCCCTCCACTGAGTTGAGAGTCCAGCACATATAGCGGCGTCTCGAGTGGGCAATCGCTCGAAAATGCTATCCTTTACCTCTTTCGGCAGCTCACTAATCATAGTTTTTCTTGAACGATTGACAGATATCAGATTGGAAAGAGGAATATGGGGGTGTTTGGTTAGGACCTTTTCGGTCATTTTTTGGCTGCTTTAATCATATTTGACCTTTTGACCAGATCAATCAGCTAATAAAAGTGTTTGGTTAAATTGCTATTCCAATTTGTCTTTTGATCCAAACAGCCAAAAAGTTAAACGCCATTAACCCCGCCGAAACAAGTTATCATTTAACAAGTTATCAGCTAAATATAAACATTCATTTAACCAAACACTGTTTTACAAACCGCTACTACTATCATCTAATCAAAACAGCCAACACTATTTGATGTAATCAACTAAAACAATCATCTAACGGCCAACGGCTAACAGCCGACTGTCAAACACCCCCTATGTATTGATCGAATTCTCCGCAGTACACATTTAAGAGGGTCGGTCCTCTTTGAAGCCCAATTAAATCAGACCTTATATTTCAAAGGAAACATTGAAAATATTAATCCCAATTATTGATCCTCCTTTTTCAATGATCCCAATTATCGATTATCTCTGGGTGATACCAACTATATGGATCTTTTTTCAAAAAGAGTCCCTAACCGACTATGACCTAGTATAACATGTTAATTTTAAATACTGTGTAAGCTATAAATAATTTCAACTATAGCCGATCTTTTTTTTATTAATCTCAACTATCAACTCTCAATTTTTGAGATATATAAAAATATTTTTATAAATTTCCAAACTAAATACTTTTAGACATGTAAAAAAATTACAAAAATTCTACAAATGCACCGAAGTTAAATAAAATATATTTTTGTCATTTTTTGATTTATTTTCAATGAAATTTCATTTTTTCCCTATTTGTCAAAAAATGTAAATACCTTTTCACTTAGGGAAATTACCCAAAATGGGAGCAAATGACAAATGGAATTCCAAAAATGGGACTAGTATGTTTTTCTTCCAGAAATAGGAGTTATTACTGTCATGTACGAAAAATACTGCCATGATTGAAAAAATATTGTCATTAATTATAATAATTACTGTCATGTTAACTGCATTGTACTACAACTATTTGGCAGTTACGGCTACAAGATGACAGTTAATACTGTCATGTTAGTCCCATTTCGGGAATAAAAACAAAGTAGTCCTATTTTGGAATTTCACTATTCATTTACTCCCATTTTGGGAAATCTCCCTTTTACTTATTATTGTTCAAGTATAGTTTTTATTTACAATTTATATTATACCACTTAAAATTATAATATTAATACCTTTTCATTAAAAACAGCCAAAACATCGAAAACCTATACCCCAAATCACTAAAATTATACGATAAACTACATCATACACTTTATAGAATATATAATATAAAATAAAGAAAATAGAAAGAAATTTAAAAAACTAAAATGGAAAATATAGAAAATTTAGATTTTTGGAATTAAGATAGAATTCAAAACTAAATCAAATCTATTTTCATGAAAAAAGGTAGAAGAATTTTTTAACAGGAAATAAGCACAATTTAGTTTTAGAATAGTAGAAAATATAAATTTGAATAAAGGAAAATAATATAAGGGTTTTTTACAAGAATACTACAAAAATTAAACCTATTTACATATATATGACTATTCATTACTACAATGTGATGTTGTGGTAACTTAAGCTCAAAACTTGAACATGAATTACTATGATTTCATTACTACTCTAATCATTAGTCATATTTTTGTAAATCATCTTTATTTTGGTCATATTTATGTAATTATTTCATAACATAAAACCATAAACTGGTAACGTGAATGGGAAAACAAATTGGGAAGAAGGAAAAAAATGATATTTCAGTGAAAATAAAGCAAAAAAACGACTATTAAATATTTTATTAACATCGGTGCATTCTTAGAATTTTTGCAATTACTTTTAGATGTCTAAAAGCATTTAGTTTGGAAATTTATAAAAAAATTATATCTACCGAAAATTGAGAGATTATAGTTGGGATTAATAAAAAAAATTGGTATAGTTGGGATTATTTATGGCTTATACATAGTTTGCATTTAAAATTGATCTGCTATATCAGGTTGTAGCCGGTTAGGGACTATTGTTTGATAATCCTAAATCAACAGTCGATTAACTAATATGCAATAATATGGAGAAATTGAGTAGATGAAGAATAATTCATCAACAATAAATATCGTATATTCATAATGATATAGGAATAACGCATAATACATGTATGAATTGTTGAGAGAGAAAACTAAATGTTGGATAATTGATACCCATATCCTATAAATAAAGAGATTTGAACTCAAGAATGGAGAAGGAGAAGAAGCGTATAAAATGTATGAATGATGACTTCTATGAGATATGTTTACAAGCTTTACATAAGGGAGTATATATAGGGAAATCCGGGTCTGGGCTTCTAATATCGGCCCGACATACCCGGTTACATAAATGGATTGATAGTACGAAAAGCTAATCTAGAACATCTGAATAATAATGTACAATAATATGAATTCGCTAAACGTGTATGGGCCGCTGTCCAAGCCCAATAGTCGACAGACCGGGGGGGTCGGAGTCCATATACTCCTTCACTAAAGGTGTTCTACGACAATAATAGGTGCGGAATAAATTCTTCATATTCTTTTTCTCTCTATTCTAACGTGAGAGCTTCTATAATGATGTGGCTATTCTAATGGTGAAACTCTTAGAGCATCATTAATGATACATTGTTAACATCCTAAAAATTTGGACACATGGCCATTAATAAGTGGAATAGTCATCCATCTCATGTTGAGTCACGTAAGACAGTTAAAATACCAAAATCATGTGCAATGGTTCATGTTAACCACCTTTATAACTCTACCCACGTGTAACTTGTATTTCTTTCAAATTAAATACTCCCTCCGTCCCTGAAAATACTTCCTACTTTTTCTTTTTGTCCGTCTAAAAAAGAACTTACCCTTCCTTTTTTGGCAAAGAATTTGTGGTCCACAACATTTCTCTCTTATCTGCACAACTCTCCACCACACAATTCATACTTTCTTAATCCGCGTGCCACTTTATTTTGGAAGTAAATTATGGGACGGAGGTAGTAACTCATACGGAGCATTTAATCAAAACACATCTGGAACCCAAAAAGCTACTGCATGTGCATCAAAATACTCCTGAGATCAAATTGAATCGTTTGATGAATAAAAATCAACAAAACTTTATGCATGAATCAAACGAGTTGTGATTTGTAAAAAGTTTTTACGCAGAGGTAAAGGCTTTCTCATATCTCTATGTATTCAATCGATATCTATTATTTTTAATTTCTATTAAATTCTTCCAATAAAATTGTTTACTCTCTTCATTTATTATTTTTATTTTGATTGCGTCTGTTGATGATTTTTTTTAAAATAATATTTAGTTTTTTGGAAGCAGATTAATTTTGACAAAAATGAGAACATCTAGTAATGAATCGGATTCTAATAGCTCGTCATCTAGCGATGATTCACATACATTATCTACACAAATGGTGAATGAGTTCAAGAGGGACGATGATATTTATGCCGATATGAACATTGATGTAGTTGAGACATGTGCAGTTCGCGTTCCGTTGATATTGTCTCCTATGTTAATGTGTAGCAAAGGTCCTCATGGCAGTTCAACAAGTGGTAGACGGTATATAAATCGTGATAAGAAAGAAAAACATGATCTAAATGTCAATGATTATTTCAATGGTGAGAACTCAAAGTATAGACCTGAGAAATTTCGCTGACGATTTCGGATGGACATTGAATTATTCCAGCGTATTTTGAGAGCAATTGAGGCCTATGATGATTATTATACACAAAATGTTGATGCGGTCGGAAAACCCGGGTTGAGTCCTTTACAAAAAATCATAGCCTCAATACGTATGTTAGCGTATGGCTGTGCAGCGGATATTCTTGATGAGTCTGTTCAAATTGTAGAGAGCACGACAATTGAGAGCTTGAAACGATTATGCGTTGCTATAATTGACATTTTTGAAATGCAATATGTACAAAAAGCAGACAAAGATGATGTTGCAAGACTTTTGAAAGAGGGAGAAGACCGTGGATTTCCAAGTATGCTTGGTAGTATAGATTGCAGGACCGTATTTTAGGGGATTCAATAGGTTATCCAGAACAGGGAATTTGAATTTATGGGGCCCCAAATTTTAAAAAAATTATTAATTTTATGTAGTAATATTATATATTAATACTAATCAGTAAAATATCCTTACTAAAGAAGAAAATCATTTTTTCGTCGGTCTTTTACTCTTCTAGTTCTCTTCTCTTTTAATCAATATTCAATTGATTTGAGTATAACTATTTAGATTGAGATTTTTTTAATTTTTTATATTAATGTGAGGCTTCGATTTTAAATTTTTAACCGGGGCCTCCAAATTCATTAGACGGCCCTGATAGATTGTATGTACTGGCATTGGAAAAATTGTCCAACAGCCTGGCACGGGACACATACTAATGGTTTCAAAAGAGTTCCAACTCTTTTTTTGGAAATTGTAGCTTCTAAAAATTCGTGGATTTGACATGCATTTTTTGGAATGACCGATACAAATAATGATGTTAATGTTTTGGATAGATCTCCCTTATTCGATGACCATGTTAATGACAGAGCACCACTATGCAATTATGTAGTGAATGATCATCATTACCATTAGGGGTACTATCTATCAGATGGGATTTATCCGGAATATGCCACTTTAATCCAAACCATCTCAAATCCATCTTCTCTTAAGGAAAAATTATTTGCAAGGCATTAAGAGTCTGTGAGAAAAGATGTAGAATGCGCATTCGGAGTATTACAAAGTTGGTGGCATATTATCAAAGGTCCAACACGTATGTGGAAACCAAAAGATTTAGGAAAGATTATGAAAGCATGCATCATTTTACATAAGATGAATATTGAAAGTGAGACTATTCAAGGCATTGATCCTCAAAGTTGGCAATCCGAAGGATAAGATACAAGTGACAATGTTACTCCGGATTAGGGATGGATTCGGGCCGGGTCGGGCCCGGGCCGGGCCTAGGCCCGGTCGGGCCGCCGGTTCAAGAAAAGTGGGCCCGGGACCGGTCCGAGGGTTGGACGGGTCCGGTTCGGGCCGGGCCACCCGCCCGGGTCACGGGTCGGGTCCGGTTCGGGCCGGGCCGGTTAATTTTTTTTTTATAATTTATATTTTATAGTTTATAGTTTTATACGAGTATATAAAACAAACTTCAATTGCATTTATTTGAAATGAAATAGGAACTACATTTGAAAATTAAAACAAACTTTAAGAGATAAACATTTTGAAAATTGTAATCAATCGGAACTTCCCGCACCTCCCGATCCTTTGGCTTTGTCACATGACTTCATATGCTTGATTAGTTGATTGCCATCCCGAATCCGCCTGAAGCCCCCATGATACATTTTTTTTCGCACCATTTGCAAATTGCGTACCACATCCCGGTCTTCGGGTCCTTCTGCTTATCAAAATTATACCGTATAATGGCATTTTGATTTTCCATCTTAACTTCTTGGAGAAGAGAATTAGAGAGTAGGTATATAATATATTGGAGAATAAGAGAATTAGAGAGTAGAGAGTTAAGAATAGGATTTAGGAAGAATTAGAGAAGAGATATGAAAAAATGTTTAAGAATAGGAATATTTATAGGTTTTTTTACCCCCCACCCCCCCCCACCCACCCCTACCAGCCAACCCCCCCGGACCCCCCCTTTACCTCACCCAACGGCTATATAGCCGTTTGGGTTGTCCCCAGCCCCACCCCCAACGGCTAGTAGGAGCCCAAACCAATTTTTTTTTTTTTAAAAATAGAACCGGACCCGGGCCCGACCCGGCCGAGCCGGGTCACAATAATGCAGAACCGAGCCCGCCCCGCCCCTTCCCACCGGTCCGGGCCCATACCCGGTCCCGAACCGCCCGACCGGGCCGGTCCCGGGCCCGCACATTACCGGGCCGGGCCGGGTCACGGGCCGGGTGGCCCGAACCGAATCCATCCCTACTCCGGATCATGATTTTACCTTTCTTTTTTCAAAGATGAAAACTTGAATGAAGGAGATACAAAATAAAAGATTGCACGGAGAGTTAAAGAATGATCTCATAAATCATTTGTGGGAGTTACATGGTGGCCAGCAAGTTGATTGATCTTTTAATTTATTACTATATTTGAACTATTCATATAGCTAGAAATAAATTTATATTTCTTTGTTATTAGTTATTACTTGCTTTGGCTGATAACTCTCCAACATTAAGCATTGGAATATGGAGCTGGAGATAGAAACGAATCTGACTTTTCCAAATTCCAATTACTCCAAATCTCCAATGATCACGAGAATGAGAATGAGAACTAGAAATAATGCTCTGTTCAAACCACACACAAAAACTGATTGAATCCAACAGATTAACTACTAGTTTGACTTAAACCTTATTATGGTGTTCTGGGAAGTATGTTTTGGTTTAGGATCTGTATGGTCTTTCTGTAGTTAGTTAAGTTGCATTCCCTACAAACTGACGCGGTCAAGAAGAAGAATAAAAGAACCAATTATGCCAGTACTTTTTCGATTTCCTAAAGTACAATCTCAACAAAGTTTTCTTTTTCAAACCCACTTATTCTGCTTTGGAACTAAATGATCAATATTCTTTAGTCTTGTGCAACTATGCAAGGAATTAATTTAGCTTTGCATCTATTTGGTCTATCATATCACAGAGCACATAACTTGCTCCACTATTTCATTTTGAAACTATTCAGTATTCACCTTCCAGGAGCTTGAATCATTTTTTTTTTGCAAGAAAAGGAGCATGAAACATATTCACTCTTTTTATCATTAAGATGTTCCATACAATAAAAAAATCAACTCGGAGTGGCTCATGTAAACCGGCTCATGTGGAGCTCAAGAAAGCTGAATCTAATGTTACTACTAGGGACTCAGCAGTCCAGCTTTCACTCACAGAAAAGGCAAGGCAAATGCTATAAATGTTGGTTGGTAGATTTAAAGTTGGGTTGGCTAATTACAATCTTCCTAATAACCAATAAACCAAACAAACAACCAGATATGAGCCTATAATGTTGCTATTAGGGACTCCAGCAACCTAACTTTCATACACATAAAAGACCAGACTAATGGTATACATCAATACTTTTCTACAAATTCTGTCCATTAACAAGCAAAAAATCAGATGGTAAAATCCAAACAAAAGCTACTTATAAGCATACAAGTCACTTTTGACTGCCAAACGCATCATACAACCTAAGTTCTTTCAAAATACTAAACCATCACAATCAAGATAAACAACTATTGATTAAATAGTCAAACTAGTCATGCGACGACAGAGAAAAATAGGAAAGTCATTTAAAGCTATGTCATTAAAAACCTATTACTATCAATAGTCTACCAGTACAAATCCAACTAGACAAGAAAACATCATTGAAAATAAACAAATGGCTAGATTCTAAAATAGATACTTCCCAAATAAGTGCAGTCTTGAGTGTCAAGTGCTGGACATCGAAAAAAGAAATGACCATTATCAGTTTAGTCACAATTCATTCAAAGTCAATACAAAACAGATAATATATATATATATATATATATATATATATATATATATATATATTATCTATTTATTATTTACCTACGACATCCAAAGAGGCCATCTTTTATAATATTTGCTTGCATGAATTCATATGCCGCTCGAGCAGTTGGTGAGACCTTACTTAAATCTTGATTCATAATATATCACCCTAACTTCATCTTCTGAGCGTTCTCTTTTAGCTCAATCTCTTTTTTGATCAGTTGCTCTTTCAATTGAAATTCTTTTTGGTCATTCTCTTTTTTTAAATGCTTCTTAAATTCTCACCCACATAGCAGTACTTTTTTTATTATTTCCAATGTATGAATCCATTGATACGTGTAACCACGCCGTTGTCAATGCTACATCTTCTTCTTTGGTCCATTCCTTTCTCAAAATTGCAGCTTCAGATACTATCCTGCTATCAACACCTTTCTTTTTTGATCTTTTTGTTGAACTCTCAATTTGAGCATTTTCCATTGGAGTATTCATTGTTGGAGAATTCAATAGACCTTGGAATGGTATTTTAGATCCATATTGATCAACAAAATAAGGATACATTCCATTGCTTTGGCTGAAGTTATAAGCTGGTTGAATTGGTGGGATTGAGTGAAGTGATTGGCTTGAGTGATGAGCTGGTATTGGGTGAATATACTGGTACTGAGAAGAAGAGAAGGTCTCAGGGTCTTGTGAATCCATTGCTTTTTATATCTGCATGATAAAGAGGTAAGCATAATGTAGGTAACTAGGTATAAACCAACAAATTGTAATCAAAGTAAACTATCATAACTTCAAATATGGGGATTAAAGACTATCTAGCTATGCACATAAAGCATCTGTTTCACTTTTGATTCAAAACTTTAAATGAAATGTAACTCTTGGAACTCAAAGAGCAGTATTACAGTGATATTAAAAAACAAACAATAGTCATCATTGTTACCTGTGGGTGTGTGTGTATGTAGTTTAGATTAGTGTTTAGCTTTTAAAGTAATCAGAAATGCACCATGTTTATTCTCTTGTAAAATGAGGATTATGTAGCACGTTTTTTAATGTCGACACCCGCTGATTGAAGATGCTCTTAGGTGTTTCGGTCTATACATCCTATATTTATAGGAGTATGGTCGAACATCCTAGTTACATTAGGATGAAACGAATGAGTCTAATTAAGTGGCCTCTAATTAATTACAAAGGCCCATTAATAAAATCTAATAGAAAATCTAAAACACAATAAAATACTACATATGTCCTAACAATCTCCCCCTTTGTGTTCAATTTGGAATTAAGCATGGATTATCTTTGTCTTGGTCTTCAGTGCAACTCATCTTCCTTTGTTTTCTTCAAAAAACTTTGGGAAGAAATCATTACAATCTCCCCTTTGGTGGCACTTCATAAAAGATGATTTAGTTATGAGTATATACTGACCATTTAGTTATGAATGTGTTGGAGAAGAGAAGTATCCGAGAATGATTTGTGAAAGTTTGAATGCACTTGGACCGAACTCCCCCTCATGACGATCTGATGAATCAGGACGTCATGTCTTTGTTCATCCTTTGATACTGCAAAACAAAACTAAAGTCTAGACCGGCCGGGCCAGATCCAAGAGATGTGCAGCCCATGACCCGCCCCAAAAACCCCCCGGTTCAGGCCCAAGGCCTGGTCCCGGTCAGCCAGGTCGGGCCGGTACCGCACAGTGGTGGTCCGATTCCAGTGCCGGGCCGGTCCGACCGGCCCCGATCCATCCCTAAGCAGAACGAACAACAATCAGATGAAACAAATCTTTTATAGATGCAAAATTCCTCGAAGGCTGGTCGCTCTTTGCCGAACTAGAGCTCTGGAAGTTTAAAGTAGAAGAGAACCAGATCATTTCTTGAGGTCGGTTGGGTTTACGTCACTACAATTTTTGAAAGTTTGAGCACAAAGATTGATACTTTAAGAAATCGGCATCACAGGGAGAATCCAAAAGCTCTTGGTTTGAGTTGTTAAGTGAAGTTTGATAATTTTCTCCGACTAAGCAGTCATAATTTAGAAGAGGCAGCCCAAGAAGTATTCATTATACTACACAATTTTGATTTTTGAGTGCTCCAGTTCAATATGTACGCCAGATCAAGTATGTTTATTTGCAAAATCATATAGAAACTATAATTGGAAACAAAACCCCCACTTAACAGTTTTCTTATATTTATGAATTGCGTTAGTACAACTATGATTTATGCCAATTAGTTCTAGATCATATGGCTGATGATAAGTTACCGCATATTATGGGTAGTAATATCACATAATCACATTATTGAATGCTTATAAATGTACATAATACGTAGTAATATAGTACGGAGTAAATGACAAAGGGAAGAAGCAATCCTCTAGATCTCCTTGCCTCTTGCAATGTAATTATTGCCTTTACTGGCCATTACATGTATTTCTACTGTCCAGAGAGTTTTTCTGCTTGTTTGAATTTTGTACCTCTCTATTTTCATTTCATAGATTTTCCTTATTACTCCCACATTACCTGTTGATATTACTATGTGAAGAAACCTAAGAACCAATGCAGCTCAAAAACACCAAATACGTACCGAATAAGTACCAATAATTAGCATGTACTGATAGATGGATAGACATATACACCACGCCCAGCCAAACTAGGTAGAATATTCCCATAAGTGCATAACATATTAAGATACTACTAAAAAAGTCATTGATACACCTTGAGATCTTCTTTTTAAGGATTTGTGCTCCTTGAATGGTAGACAATTTGTGCTTTGGGAGATGCACGAAAAAAGTTCAAAACCTTCTTTGTGGCCTCGAAATGCAAAGCTTCATTGATACGTTGAGATGCACAAATGACAACGTGGTTTAGTGCAGGCGACTTGGAGAGTAGTAATTGCACAAGGCACAGTTCGTTTTTGCCTCATGTGAACCCGTTGAGCTTCACGGTCTCAAGCGTCCTCAAATCATCCAGCACCAATAGCTTGGGGGATTTTTTAAGCAATTGGACAGCAAAGGGAAGATGGCGAGATATGAAGCCTTCAAGTTTGATTTCTTCCAGATTTATCAAAGTCGGGAAGGCTGTTGAGGCCACCGCATCAGCCCAATTCTTCACAATAATAAAATGCAAAAATGAAAGTAAGCCGAGATATCAAATTATAAACAAAACTGATTCAACTAATAAAAAGAATGTGATACAAAAAAGAGCATGTTCATAATACACATGAATATCAATATATGAGGAAGAACCGAAGAAATTCTCACCGAACACATATAGAGGAAGAAGGTTTTAATAGAGCTGAAACGAATGGGGGGCAATGTGTAATTCCAACTAAGAAAATCAGATATTGACAAGCTTTTAAGATTGGGAGCGCTGGTGAGAAAAATGAGCGGCGCACCACAACACCTGTACAAAGCCAGCTTCTCAAGCTTAGGCATGCTAAAGCCCAGACCATTATCATTACCCCTGAAATTAACGAATCTGTTAATATACAGGATGCGCACCACAACACCTGTACAAAGCCAGCTTCTCAAGCTTAGGCATGCTAAAGCCCAGTCCTGGGAATATACACGCAGCATTTACCGGAAAGTAAAAAAGGAAACTTTCGAGTTTCAGTTCCTTGATGGTCTTGCACCAGAGAAGACAGGATGGCACCTTATAATCTGTTATAGGAAAACCAGCAGAGAGGTCAAGTTCCTCAACGCCTTTTCTTGCAAGTAAAAGACACCACCTGTCTAAATCAGACTGCTCCAGCGGCGGCTTAGATGAGAAAGAATAGTGAAACGTGAATTTCTTAATGGGTCCAGATCGGAGCATGAGAATCTGGTTTATTATGCTCACCATACACAAGCCGCCGTCAGGTTTGCTCATGTTTTTGAGGGAGCGGAAGAAGTCCTTGTCAAAGACGAGTCGCCCTAGGCGGTACCAAGCACCCCTCCACTCAGTTGAGAGCAGAGCACATCTGGCGGCGTCTCGAGTGGGCAGGAGCTCCAAAATGCTTTCCTTTATCTCTTCCGGCAGCTCACTCAACACAGTTTTTCTTGGACTATGGGCCGACATCAGATCGGAAACAGGAATACGTATAGAATTGGCTTTATCCGTAGTACAATTACTTAAGTAGGCGCTGGAGCTTAAGCTTTGGGATCTCGACTCTCGAGTTGGAAAACCCCTAGGCACAAATAGAGATATGAGGAAGGTCTTGCTACCTTAGGGGAGTATAGATGAAGCGTCTTGATCAGATCAGCATTTAATTGTAGTTTATATAGGAGGCTTGTCGCGTCCATCGTAGTTCAAATTACAAGTTTAGTTTACCATACCAAATTTCAGCTAAAATTTCAATCGATAAGGAATTCAAATGAAGTAGACTACCCAAAAAAGCACAAATGATAAGGAATTCGATAAGGAATTCAAATGATAACTGCGTAGTTAAAAACACAATTACCTTCAAAAATTCATTTGAGTGCCTTCCCGATTTAAGTTTTAGTTGAAATTTGGTATGAGTAAACTAGACTTAATGAATAAGATGCCCAAAAAAATTAATCAAAAATTTCCACCGGGAAGTTCCCCAAATGGCAACGGCCGGACAGTAAGGACTTATTTGACACTTTTTATGCAATTTCGAGGACCAATCCGATCCTTATCTCAGTCCAGAATTAGGGAGCACAAGCTCGTACATCTTAATCATAAAAAAAACTTAAGTAGGCGCCCACCATGGGCAGGCCGGTCCTCTTGAAGCCCAATTAAATCGGGTATAATCTTAAATGGTAATTACTTGTACGGTCCACTTGTGATGCTCTATATCACTAGTCTTGTACCTCTTTGCGATGTACTACCTCTGTCTCATTTTTTTTTTACCCCGGAAGGTAAACCACCAAAATCAGTAGGGTAAATGTCGGGGGAAAATTTGCTGAATTTTATTAATAAAAAACAATTACAAAGAATCAGAGGGGGCCAAACCAAACCTCTTAAGAAAACTAAATCAAACATCTAAAAGAAGGAATATTAAAAAAGTCTAAATAATAAGAACTTTTGACAAGAGGAGGAAGAGAAGTCAAAGTAGAAATAACATGCACATGGGCCACTCTGCACTCAGCCAAGTAGTGGGCCGGCCAATTCCCTTCCCTCAAAATATGCCCAAACGAAATTCCTGCCCGGTTAGCCAGCTCCAACAGCGAAGAGATAGAGTCCATCCATCTTCCAGTCCGGTTTCCTGAAACATAGTCATAAGCTTCCACCGCATCTGTTTCCACCTGAAAACCAGCATAGCCAGCGTCGACTGCCCATCGAGTTGCTATATCCATCGCCCGGATTTCTGCCTCTACACTCGAAGTCGCCCGCAGCGGGAACTGAACGGCTGCCAGAAATTCACCTCGTTCATTCCTCATCAAAGCTCCGCCTGCAGCCCTATTTGGTAAGTAAGACGCATCTACATTCAACTTTAATTTACCTTTAGGCCTCATCCATCTAATCGGCTTAAAAATTTTCGTGTTTAACCGAAAAGAAGCTGGAATAAGTTGTTCAGAAAAGAGAATATCACCCGCAGCCAAAAGCTTCATATCAGACAGACTTTGGACCCAAGACTGAGTATAAAGTTTGATTTGCCAAATTATGTTGTCCGTAGAGGGTATAGAGTGACTAGAACCCCAAATAATCCCTGAATAGATCTTCCAAATATGCCAGCATATAATCCCCGGAAGATTTACTCTGAAAATGTCCAACAAAGTTTTACTACCTGCACATAGCCACCATTGAAAAAGTATCTGCCTGATTGAATGACCAGTCTGGGTAATTTCCATGATATTACAGAAGTAGTTCCAAATAGGGTTGATCTTGGGACACAGATATAACACATGGTTCATATTTTCTGAATGAGCCTTGCACCAGGGACAAATGGAGGGGTTAAGAACCAGATTAAATCTTGTTAGGTTTTCCCTAAATGGAAGGAATCTATTAAGCAGCTTCCATTGAAAAATTTGAATTTTCAATTTTTGCTTAGAGTGCCAGAGATGCTTGTTAACAAAGGTAGGAACAGATTTTTCCCTTATCTCCTCAAAAGCAGACTTAAAAGTGAAAATGCCATTACTAGTAGGGGACCAGTTCCAAATTTGTGAGGAGTCCTGTTCACAGATAGTAGTAGCAAGATCATGTATTGAGCATATTCTTCTCCAAATTGGAGAATCTGTAACCTTGACTGTCATTTCATTGCCCCTAGGATATCTTGCATTGAAAAAATCAGTCCACAGAGAGGAAGAGGACTTCCATTTCCACCACAATTTCAATGAAAAAGCCTTCTGGATGTCAGAGAGGCTCCTCAAGCCCAAACCTCCTTCTTCAGTGGGTAAACATAAATTTTCCCATTTTCTCCAATGATAGTTATGCTTACTGTTTGTAGCTCCCCAAAAGAAATTAGCCATTTTCTTCTCTATGACTCTAATCACTTTCTTTGGCAGGATATCAACAGCCATAAGGTGTAAAGGAATGGTGCTAAGGACATGTTTTATCAAGATAAGTCTTCCCCCTTGTGTAAGCAGTTTTTGTTTCCAGTGTGCTAATTTAGAGTCAATCTGATAAATGAGATGATTACAATACTGAAACCTGTTAATACCTTTGTGAAGATTAACACCTAGATATTTAAAAGGCAAAGACTTCTTTCCCATTTCCAGAATGTCCTTAATATTATTGCATCTTCTATTTGCCTGTTTCCCACAAATGAATTTTTTTTTATCAAAATTCACCAGCTGTCCAGAAGCCTTTTGATAAAGATCAAGGAACCTCTTAAAATTAAGAAGAGATCTAGATTCACCATTTAAAAATATCAACAGATCATCTGCAAAGGCCAAGTGAGTAATAGGATATCCATAAGCACCCATCCAATAAGGTTTAATAAAATTGTTCTCAAATTGCCATTTAAGACCTCTTGAAAATGCCTCTGAAGCCAAGATAAAAAGAAAGGGGGATAGAGGGTCCCCTTGTTTAACCCCTCGTTTAGGCTGAAAATAACCTTGCGGTGTCCCATTAACAAGGATGGAGAGATAAGTAGCTTGAAGGTTATCCATAATGAGTCTTACTATATAATCAGAAAAGCCAAATTTAGTAAGAATCTGCCTCAGAAAAGACCAAGATACCCTGTCAAATGCCTTAGCAATATCTAATTTTATAATCACATTTGATCCCCTTACTTTCTTCTCAAGAGAATGAACCATTTCCTGTGCAATAAGGGTCTGGTCAGCAATGTCCCTGCCTTTCATAAAACCAGCTTATTCCAGTGAGATAAGTTTAGGCAAAATGGTAGATATTCTATCAGCCAGAACCTTGGTGCAAATTTTCCTTTTGGGGATAAGAACCACAAAAGTACTAGAAATACCTTTTGGAATAGGGGTACCCAAAAAGAAATCTTGAACAGCCTGCAGCAAATCATCACTTACAATATCCCAACATTTTTTTAAAAATTTGCCATTAAATCCATCTGGGCCAGGAGCTCCATTTGAGTTGAGGTCCCAAACTGCTGATTTAATTTCTTCTTTGACAGGAAGAGCAGAGAGAAAAGCATTATCAGAATGGGTAAGCAGCTGAGGGATAAAATGCAGAATATCTTCAGAGACCACCACAGAGTCCACAGAATCCTGAGAATAGAGATCAGAGAAATACTGAACTGCAGCATTACCAATCTCAGGTACAGAGTCAATCACAATGCCTTCAGATGATTTTATAGAATGAATGTGATTTCTTTTGTTTCTGATCTTGACAAAAGTATGAAAGAATTTAGTGTTTGCATCACCTTCTTTCAACCATTTTATATTGGCTTTTTGTTTCCAATATTTTCTTTCCATTTTTAACTTCTGTATAAGGAGACCCCATTTCATTGACCAGTCAGATTTATTTGCATCAGTGGGGTCTTGTTCAAAGGCAATTTCAGCATCTAACACCATTTTTTCACACCTTTTGACCTCTTCAAAAACATTCCCAAAACATTCAGAGTTCCACTTTTTCAAATCATATTTAAGGCACTTTAACTTTAAGACCAGACCCTGCATTCCCCCTCCAAAAACATGTTTCTTCCAGCTAGCCTTAACAACATCCATAAAGCCATGATGCATTAACCACATATTAAGAAACCTGAAAGGTTTAGGGCCTGAAATAATTTGTTTTGAGCACTGTATGACGATGGGTGAATGATCTGAAGGTGTTTTATTGAGATGGGATATCTGAATGTTGTCAAAGTGATCAATAAATTGTTCATTTACGAGAACCCTGTCCAATCTCCTCCAAACTAATCCATTTCTTCTATTTCCTGACCAAGTGAAACTAGGCCCAGTGAAGGGGAGATCAATAAACTCACATGAGGCAATACAATCAGAGAATTCAGCTAAACTGACTTGATGAGGTATGGCTCTACCTTGATGTTCATGATGAGAAGCTATAGTATTAAAATCCCCTCCCACAATCCAAGGGATAGTAATAGAGTTTTTCATCTGAATCAGGTTATTCCAAAGCTGCCTCCTTATAATATAACTGTGATTACCATAGATAGCAGTAAAAAAGCCATTAAATAAGTTAGAATTAACCTGAAAATGGACATATTGGTCATTCCAGACTTCACCAGAAATGTTGATAAAGTGACTATCCCAGAAAATCCAGATTTTATTTACATCAGAGCACAGAACCTTTGAGTAATCAAACTGAAGCATGAAGTCAGTAGCTCAGACATTACTAATAATAGGCTCAATAACCACCAAAAGTTGAACCTTCCACTGTTGAATAAGAGAAAAACATCTAGAGAAGGAACCCTCTAGACCCCTTAAATTCCAAATTAAGCAATTCATTGGACAGTTTTTGGGGGTAAGTTTTGGGACAGCATTGAAGCTGAGTGAGAAATCACCTCTGAATTTGCAGGCATAGCCAGTTTCCTGGCTGCAGTCCTTGTGACTCTACCTGATGGTGTAGGCAGCTTCTTTTTTCTGAAACCTCTCCTTGAGACTCGTATAAAACCATCTTCATCTTCTGCAGGCTGTGTATTAGCTTTTGGAGAGTTTGTATGTGTTTGATGCTGCTGAACCACCCAGTTAACCCTTCTCCTCAATCCAGGTAATGCTTCCTTCCACTCTTGTATTTCTTCAATCTTTCTTGGGGAGCCCCTATCAGAAGAGTAATCTTTTGAAAGGAGTTCCAGGTCCTTTTCCAGGCCATGAATTAGGCCCTGCACACTAGAATCATCATGGCTAATACCCACGTT